TGTCTGTCTGTCTGTCTGTCTGTCTGTCTGTCTGTCTGTCTGTCTGTCTGTCTGTGCGTTATATATTATACCCACGCGTAAGGTGTGCCATTGTCACAAGGGCCTGAACTGTGAACGTCACTTTACACAGGTGTCACGTGGGTGCATGTGTGGTCCGGCAAGAGCTACACAGGAGGTCAGACTGTCACAGTGCCAGCCCCCCTCGGTGACCCACCCGTATTCTACAAGTCAGACTCCAAGTTCAAGGACACTTTCGAACAACTTAGAGGCATTACTGAACTGTCTACTTCCGGCACAGATGGGGAAATCATTGGTTGATCTGACCATTGACCAGCTTCGCATTCTTTAGTTAACTTTCCTGTTACAAGTACAAGGAAACACTGGATCAATAGAAAGTGTTTTGATGACGTGCTTCGTTTTATATTAGGAATATTGACATCTGTCTTTGAGAAATCCGTTTAGTTTCTTTCACAGTATTATCGAGGGAAATCTTCCATTGCAATGCGTGGAAGATACATTGTATCTTATTCGTGTGTATTATCAATGTGTTGGGCAGCGATACGGCCTTTTCCCCTTGACTGATTCCTTTTAAATGTTTAATTAATGAGCCAGATATTGGGTCTAGATCTATATGTCGAAATAATGTTATGCATGTTGCAGTTGTGTTGTTGTTTTGTAAATGAGAAATAAATGAAAAAACAAAACTTCACCTTTGTTCCTTTGCATTTTGCACAGTACAGTACTCGTTTTCATGTCAATTCTTTAACGGTTTCTGAGTTGTTGCTCCTCTATCTCTATCTCTCTCTCTCTCTCTCTCGCCCTTTTTAACTTCCAGTGGAGCACAGGCCATCAACAGCATTACTCCAGCGAAGCCTGTCCTGAGCATCCTTTTCTATCTGTTTCCCTGATGTCCCCGCCTTTTCAATTTCCGCTTGCACCGCTCGCCTCCATGTCATCTTTGGTCTTCCCTTCCTACGTTTTCCATGTGGGTTCCACGTTAAAGCCTGCCTGATGATGCTTTTCGGGGGTCTCCTCGGGGTGTGTCCAATCCATTTCCATTTCCTCACCTGTATGTCTTCCTTTACTGGCTTTTGGCTTGTTCTTTCCCTTTCTTTCCCTCGGTTGAGCATTAGTGACTCGATCGTACCACTTGATCCCCACTATCCTTCGTAGGCATCCATTAACGAAGCTCTGCAGTTTCCTTGCTGCTGATACTGTGAGCCTGCATGTCTCTGAACCATACAGTAGAACAGTCTTCACGTTTGTTTTGAAGATCCTCAGGTTGGTGTTTAATCCCAGTTCCGTAGACATCCATATATTCCCGAGAATGATGAATGCTGCTCTTGCCTTTTGGATTCTGACCTTGATGTCTTCGTCTGTTCCCCCTGCCTTGTTGATGACACTTCCCAGGTAGGTGAAGGATTCAACATCCGCCAATGGTGCCCCTTGCAGTGTGATAGGAACGTCGGCTGCATTCATTCGTAGAACTTTCGTTGTATGCGTGTGAATATGGAGTCCAACACTGCGGGAGAAGGTCCTGAGGCGATCTGTTTTCTGTTGCATCTGGGTTCGACTGTGAGAAAGAAGTGCCAAGTCGTCGGCAAAGTCCAAGTCTTCCAATTGACTGGAAAAGGTCCACTGTATGCCACCGCGTTGTCCCGATGTTGTCTGTCTCATTATCCAATCCACTGCTAATAAAAAGAGAAAAGGCGATGGCAGGCATCCCTGTCTCACTCCTGTATTCATTTCAAACGAGCCAAACGTTGCCCTCCAAGTAAGACACTGCAACTCATTCCCTCATACATCTTCTTGATCAATCTCACGAACTTGTCAAGTATTCCGTAGTGGCGTATGAGCTTTCACATTGAGTCCCTATCTAGGCTGTCAAAAGCTTTCTCGTAGTCAACAAAGTTAACGTACAGATAAGAATTCCACTCTGTGGACGGTTCCACTATTATCCTCAAAGTTGCAATCTGGTCTGTACATGATCTCTTTTTACGAAATCCTGCCTGCTCCTCTCTTAGTTTTGCATCCACGGCTTCCTTCAGTCTTTACAGTATGGTACGACTTAAAATCTTCCCCGGAATGGAAAGGAGCATGATGAGTTGTTGCTTACTGTGGTCTATATGATTGTTTAATTTGCAATCTGGCGTGTTGGTCAATGGCAGGGGGTTAGGCCTAGCCTATCGTATTGTTTGGCTTAAAGTGTGTAAAGCAGAGAGAGTGAGTGAGTAAAGTGTGAGTCTCAGTTCAGTTGTATTGTTTGGTGCAAGTGTATAAAAGTAGTCTGGGTCACAACAGGTCAGACTTCAGAGGGGAGAGCTGTAGCAAGGCAGAGGCGGCCTGCTGAGATTTCGGGTGGAGAAAATGCTTGTTAGAGCCTCGGTTTATTTCTGTGTTGTGTGTGAGATTCCAACGCATCGGGGCCCCATCGCTGAGGAAAGGGTCA